TCTCGCTTAGGGTGCGAGAGGTCCCGGGTTCAATTCCCGGAACAGCCCCTTTTGCTATTTATCAAATTTGCATTTCTAAAGTAGCTCGCTATTCTTAAATGTACTTTTAAGTTTTATTATTCTTTTTCTCTTTTCAAATTCACCTTTTTAATTACTGCTTTTCCTCCTGTTCATGTTCGGGCACTGCATGCTGGACTGTAGCTTTCCTGACATTTCAAATGCACATCAGTCCTCTATGAGTGTTTTAAATATTTATAAATGTATTTTTGATATTTATGTTTTCGTATTGTTGAACTCACTGGACAGATTCTGCAAATTATGATGCAAATGAATGGGCAATCGTGTTTGCACTGATGCCTAAACTGCGGGTACGCCCCGCCTTCTGCAGAACTGAAACGTGGTCATAGATAAGCACGGGAATATATCTATATTCATGATAACATATTGTTATAAAATGCATTTGTTTCTATTTTTTAATTTTTTTCTATTAATAACGGTCTGTACGAGGATGCTCTAAGTATAATAATGAGAAAAAGGTTATTTTACATACTGAATAATATGCACGAATTCAGTTACAAATGCATAGAAGTACTTATGTGTATATGCATGCAAAGCTTTTTGAAACTTTTGCATGCAAATTTGCTCTTTTCTTTGCTGCTTTTCAGGCACCAAGGCCCCTCAGGCTGCCGGTGTAATTCACACAGATTTTGAACGTGGGTTCATTTGTGCTGAAGTGTACAAGTACACCGACCTCGTCGAGCTCGGCAGCGAGAATGCAGTGAAAGCAGCAGGGAAATATTTGCAAAAGGGGTCAGTACTTAGGGTTTAGGGTTTAGGGTTTGGGGTTTAGAGCTGCACAAACCCCCATTGTACATAGCTAACACATCGCACAGCAGTCTCGTGGCGTGTACTCCACGATTTTTTCGATAATCTGCAGAATTGTTTCCTGCAAATGTCTGCAATTTGGTTAAATTTTGTTTTTCAATTTTTTAATTCGGCTTTCTCGTGCCAGTTTCACAATATGCATCCGCAGCGGCAGCAAACTAGAAATGTTTTGGTTTCTGGTGCATTTGGCAATACGTGTCCGCTTTGTATCTATTTTTCATTCGGCCTTCCCATCATTTAACTCTTTTTTCATCTTGCTTGTTCGTTTTTTTGCTTTTATACCTTTTCAAAACTCCTTGTGTTTTTCTTTTGCAGCAAGGACTACGTCGTGGAGGACGGTGACATTATATTTTTCAAGTTTAATGTAACAAACAGCGCAAAGAAGTGATTCTGAGTCAGCTTGAAAGTTTAATTTGAATTACAAAGGATAATGATATGCAAAAGATCAACTGGTTCCTTCTTCAACTACAAATTGGCTGCCTACTTTGGCTGCGGCAACGAAGCAGCAGCTGTGGACTCTTCCTTTGTTTGCATTCCTTGCCTTTGTTTTCTTCCATTTCACCGGCTTTTCCATTCCTTTCGTTTTGTTTAGCATATTTGTTTTATTTTCTTTCTTTTTCTGCTCCCCAGAGTCTCAAATAGGGCTCTAGACCTACGCTGTTGCGGATTGAGTGTCAGTTCAGCTGCTACACCAGTGACACTGCAACAAGCTGAATTTGAAAAGCGCTTGCAAATGTTCATAAGCCGCACTAAAAGCATGAAAGACACAGCTTTCATTGCTTTCAAAAGCTTTGTTGAATTCAAGGGTAGGGTTTTGCCAGGTTACATTGCGCTAGACTTCATTTGCATGCAACCTCAGCCAGCTCCAGGCTGCAGTTTCTCGCCAGCCCACGCTCTTTTATAAATAATGATGGTGTCTAATGCTGAGTCCTGTTGTCTCTACATTGACTCCTATTTGGAAGCTGAAGAAACCGCCAAAGAGTAACTATTTCGAACACAAATGCTGAAACCTCTGGGAGCAGTTTCGATTCACCAGTATTACCCAATGAGTGTAAATGGTAATTGCAAAACGGATTTCTAAGCTAAATAAATATCACATCTTGTGTTTTTTCCGCACACATACGGTAGACTACGACTGCGCACAATTCACTTACTGGATTGGGAACTGCGGGTTAAGCACAAACAAAGGAAAATGAATTGAGACAAGTTGACGCCGGAAAAACGAATTGCTGTTCTCAAAAGTTCTAATCCCCCCACACGTTGCAGAAGGGACGCGCAAATTGAAGTCTATTCTCTTTTCAGGACATTTATATTCTCATTTTTGTTTATGAAATCTCCTTACGCCTATCTGGGGATCAGTTCCAAGGTGTCACCTTAACTCTGCACCAAATGTCTTGAAACCTCGAGTCTTTTCGATGAAAGCTCGGCTCTTCTCAACCAATTTTCAACCAGCAATTGGATTTAATTCTTGTTTCAGTTCTAGGTGGGGAAAAAGGACCAATAAGGAATGACAGTCATCAGAAATCAGAAGAAATGGCTTTGTACACTTTTGTAAAGGTGCTCTCATGTATCCGAAAATGTACAATTGCCCACGCATATCAGCCACGGTCGCTTTTGCCTCTATGATGCACAAAAAATTCAAGAATCTGAATGCTAGCTGCTACCCTTTCTGCCATTCTGAACGCGTTTTATGCAGCTAGAACCTGAAACTTTTACGAAAAGAATGATATAAATGGAAAAACATGTTGAAATGGAACACACTCTACTGCTAAAAGGGCTAGGCTGTGCAGTATCCATCAGCGTCTATTCGTTTCAGCTTTTGATTCTCACTGCTGCATGAAGAGTTGCAGGTCCTGGGCTCCTGTCTTTCTGTCTTTCTCGCCATTTTTTCTTCACAAATTAGTTCAATCATAGTTTTAAAGACTTTGATATTTCGAAGGGGCTTCATCGACTGCACAACTTGTTGCGATGCTGCTGACATCTAAATCTAAATTGCCTGCTTACCGACTGACTTCGTTTCATCGCCAACTTTGGCAACTTTGACTCGCACTCAATCATATTTTCCACATTTATGCTGTGAAAGGTCATTTTAAACCTATTTTAAGTTCACCGTAATGCCGATTCAACATTTAAAGGACGGAAAAGACGTATTTGGCTTGTGGAGCTCTTAGGGTCACTCGGACGCTCCTAACCAACTTCAAACCCCACCACAAGTAAACAGCAGTTGCATCGGCTGTCAAACCAGAAAACTAATCTAAGTTACAATCTTGAGATAAATGAAGTGAAAGAGGAAGGTCGGTGAGAGAACGAGCATGCTTTTGAGGCATTATTGGGCAAAGCAGTGGGTGGTGAGCGTGTTACACATGCGAAACCAGAAGCCGTTGGACCGAACGAGTTGCCCACAGTGTTTTACAAAAAATAGCACTGAGGAACACGTAGAAGTATAAAGCAAGTATAGAGTTTTAAGCAATATTGATTTCACATAAGAGGCCGAAGGACTCACGATTGTCCGTGCAGGGCTCCCTGTCGGCTGCGCCTGCGGAAAAGGACGAAAGAGACCTGCCTTCGTAAGTCCTGCGGCGTTTCTCATGCAAGTATCCCCAAAATCAGTCCTTTTATATTTTAAAACTTTTATTTCAAGTTTGTTTGCAGGAAAAAGGAGCAAAAAGTGCGCTGGCTCATTAGGAAGACGATGGGGCCTCTTGGCTGGCGGTGGCTGCGGCCCCAGTAGGTGGCCGCGCATGTGGCATGCTGCCTCTTCTGTAGTTTGAACATAATTGGAAATTAAAGATCTACTTGTCTAAGACCAGTACACTTCACATTGTTTCACACTGAGAGGGACAGAAACAACAGCAGTAGTTGCAGACTGCTGCGCGTGCTCAAACACTCAAGGCAAAGGTGTCAGGCCTTCTTCGCGCCGGCGTAGCCGTTTGTTTCTTCCCCTAATTCTACCGTACTTCTTTAAAATTTGAAGAGCAAAAGTGCCCGAGTTTATCTTTTGCTTGCCTTTTCTTGGTGTATTTCTTTCATGCATGTATTTGCTTGTTTCTGGTGTCACCGACCAGCGAGTCGCCTGTGAGCCCTTCAAGTCCTGTGGCTGTATGTGTCTTTCCCAGCTCACTTTGTCTTCCTTGACCTTCCACTGAACCACTCTTTTTAATTTTTTTTTCGTTTCCATATTTGTTCCCAGTTTTCCAGTTGACTCTCGGAACATGCTCTCTTAACAGCTGACGCGGTGTCGGTCCAGGCCTCTGAAGCCACTTTCAGCAGCGGTAGCAAAAACGAAGACGCAGAAAATTAAGTGGAATCAAATCTATAGAAAAGAAGAGAGGAGAGGGCCAAAGGATAGCCGCTGGCTCTGTAGATCTGCGATTGAAAGGGCAACCAGGAGGCCACTCTTCACTGATGGGAAGCCACTCATCACCATTGTTCTCGTTTTAAGTTCAGATTTATGATGCGCGAACTGACTCTTGGCCCTGCTGCGCCCCCTCAACCCTCCAGTCTATCCCTGTGCTGCTGCTGCTGGGTCCATGAAGCCTGCGGAGGCGTCCCCGTCTTTGCCTCCGGGGGAGGCCCTATTTTTTGGGGCCCCCCAGGGGGCCCCCCAGGACCCCAAGAATCGGAGACCACTGGTTCCCCGGCTTCACCTGGCCCTAGGTTCCTGTAGTCCCAACGCCACAAGTGACACTGAGGCGGGGCCCCCCGGGGGGCCCCCTGCAGGCTGTGCGCTCAAACAAATGTTTTGACGATGAAGATGCGGTGTGAGCTTTATGTACCGAAACGATCATCGGACTAGGAAGAGGCGCTTCCTAGTTTTT